GACGGAGGGAAAACGTCAAACAAGGACTGGGAAGCTGACTCACATTTTGGCAGGTTGGGGGTTACTGAGTTTCATTTGCCCTTTACATACAAAAGCCCCTTTCACACTGACCACCGAAGCAGACTTTTTCGCAGCATGTAAGGTACAGATATGGAATTGCGTGTGGAAAATGGACCCAACTTCCCAACGTAGTATCAGTGGCGTGCAATTAAGGGGTATGAAGTTTCATACCTGAAAGTCCTTTTTCTTCTCTGCTCAAAGCAAAAGTCACACTTGGATGAAGCCGCAGTAGCACAACTCATGTCACTCAGCACGTTGACACAAAGCCAACTCTCCACTCACAATGACCGACGCCCACATCACTCACCAGACCTGGCCGCGCCTTTTAAAGCCACACATTTACGGACAATCGTTTCTTTTTTTTTCTTTTTTTTTTTTAAACCGCATGACTTGAATGCCGCTGCTTTTACCTTCCGTCCTCAGACTCAGCCAAGTATGGGTGGACTCTGATTGGCAGCGTGAAAGGGGCCACAAGAGAAGCCCAAAAGAAAGCAGAGCAAGATCTTTGTTTACATCTTCTCTTTCATGTTTGCTCCTTGTAAAGCATCTCAACGATCCGCCCGCACCACAAAGACGGGAGAAATATCCACTCGAGTGGAACACAAAGGGGCCGCGAGCAGCGGGATTACTGGCTGAAAAGACGACAATTGTTTGCGAGGCGAGCGGATCGATGGGACGAGCTGACCAAACGAGGAGCTCGCAAAAGAAGCTTCCGCCGGCCGCCTGGCAAATTGGGGCCGCGCAGCGCAGGCATGGATTTTTTCGTTAAGAGGGCGCTTGTAGATGAAACAAATGCAAATGTATGCATCAATGCCCTCATTTAACATGGCGCGGAGCAAACGCCGACACAGAATGGGTTGCTGAGTGTGTTTGCTTTGGGAAGATTGATGCTTTTGGTGAACAAAATGCGGCGCCGAAATTCGTGAGCCCCAACTTTTATGGAGCCACCCCACGTATTTTCCATGAGATTGATCTCACGCGCACAACAGCAAAACAAAATGTCGGAAAAAGCGCGCAACTCGGCGGTTGAATTTTAAAATGCAGACGGGGCGAATCTCGCCCGACGATTGCGGCCTTTGTGCTTTGTGTATTTTAAACCGGCCACCTTGTTGTGCAACTAAGGAGACTTTGGAAAAATAATTTTTCCTTACACAATCGTCACTGTCGGATTATTTTCAGCCGCAAAAATGCAATTTTGTGATGTGCTCTTGAGTGTCGTGTGCGCACCCAACGCGCTGTAAAATGTTCGGGAAGCGTTTTCCCCTCTCAAACCTTGGACTGTCATGTTTAGTTTGCTCTGCACTTTCCAGTTACAAAGCGTATTGTGGCTGAGAAAAGATGTCTTTTTATTTGGTTTCCCTATCCAGCAAGCCACGACTGTTGCCTATTGCTGTACGTTTTCTATTCAATGTGTTCCGAGCCAATTTTGGTATCTCAGTCTTTTATTTTATTTATGCTGCACATTTTTCACGTTCAGTTGGGAATAAAGCCCCCTTAAAAATGATTTTATGTTTGGTCAAGTCTTTGCACAGACCCGGCCGGCCACACAAATATATTCGAAAGTTTCGTACAAATGCTTCAACATCAACCCGCCCCAAACAATACAGAATATGCGTGTGAAACGCAAGTATCCTTTTTGTCCACTTGGGGTCGCCACCCACCCATGCTAAACTGTCGTAACTGCAAAAACCTGCGAAGGTGATCGTGCGTGTTTTCTTTCCAATTTTTCCAAGCAATTGCCGCTTCCACCCCCTCCCCCCCGAAAATGACAGGAAAAACTCTGATCCTGCTTGTTATTTGGGGAGCGTGGCAAGCGAGCGTGTTTAATCAAAGACTAGCCGTGTGGTGTCCACTCTAGAGGAAATTCCATTAAGACCAAAGCCTCCTAAGGCTGACACGTTAATCCCGCCGGCCGACTGTGCGGCTGACAGCTCGGAAAGCTCGGCCCGCAAGGACTTGACGCACCTGCCTGTGGATACTCGGCACCCTGACCGGTACAATTTTGACAACGCGTCGCTTAACACGCCGCGAATGATGCAAACGCGGCCAGAAACGAAATCGCATGTGGTTCTGTTTTGAGCACGCCGCCCGCAAAAGGATGACCTTCCATCTTCATGTGGGGTCGAAAACTATTTGCCATGAACAGCTTGAAATTTGGTCGCCATTTTCAAGAGTACCGGTAATTAGATTCCTAATCAACCTCTTGCAAGTGATTTTCCATTTTTTTAGAATCCATTCCGAGGGATGAGCAAGCGCAAATAAAAAACAAAAAACAAAGCGACAACACCTCTCTTGCATTGTGTGGTATCGATGGCACTGATGTCATGCTTATCTGAATGCGTGAAGCCGCAGCAGCTGGGTGAACGCAGAATCGTAGAAAGCCGAATGGGGCTGTCCCTGTTGTGTTGAAATTTGATTTGTACGTCACCGATGCTCATTTTTCTGTTTCTCTGCGTGTAAAAGCCCATCTGTGCCAACCAACGCTTTCTAAATAGCCGGCCGTATGAACGGCACGGACGCGGAATGGGCTCGCGGTGGCTTTGAGAGCCGGTGGCTGAAATGACTCCATTTTCATTTCAAGTAGCACTTCTTGTACGTGTGTGTAATGCGCACTCAAATTTCACCGCACTGCCGTCAGCGCGCGCGCCCGTGTGTGTGTGTGTGTGTGTGTGTGTGTGTGTGTGTGTGTGTGAGGAAGTTAATTGGCCATATATGCATGCACGGCAAAGCGACGGCGGGTGGCGGACCTGCCGGATCTGGCGCCGGGCCACCTCCTGCTGATTGGAGCTGTCAGCCGCATTTATTAATGATGACAAATCACCCCGCAGCCCGGCATCCAATAAAAGGTCTCTCGGAGGGGCTCAAACCTGCTCGCCTTGGACTAAATGATTTTCTTGGCTCGCCGCGAGCCAGCCGGCGGTCCGGCCGACGAACCGGTAGGGCCGCCCGCCCGCCGTCGGAAGGCCGAGCAGCTGGATTTCGCCGTCGCGATGCAGAAACGTGATGACCGAGGAGGACGGCTGACAGGTGGCAGCGTGCTGGCTTTGTGAAAAAAAAAAAAAAAGCAACGGCGGGGTTTGACCTTTGCAAGGATTTCAGTGGAATTAAAACACAATTTGACAACTAATACCTCATAAATGGCTTCATTTCATTGGCTAACAAGGCCGAGGGGTGCGATTTCAAAGCGGCCCCGCAAATTGACTCGATGCAAATGAACGGAACACGCAATTTAGCGTTGCCCATCTGACTAGTTGATGAGATTCAAATTTGGTTCGCAATCAGGCAAAAGCTCCACCACAAGCTCACCTTTAAAATGGGCCCTCCCATTTTTTTTTTTTGTAGGTCTTCCCATGATGGACATCCAGTACCAACCAAATTTCATGCTGCTAAGTCAAACTGGGTTTGAGGGCGGAATTTTTCACCAGTCGGACCAATTCATTTTTGAAGGACTCCTGCAAATGGGCAAAATGAGCTGAAAAATGGCCATTTCAAGCCAACTTCCGGCGTCTTTTTATGCACGACTTCTTGAGACTTTTTTGCGAGCCCATTCATGACGTACATGCCGACAAAATGTCATGTTGCCGAGCCAAACTGGCTGTGGGGGCAGAATTTCCCCCAAAACATTTCTGAGATGAGGTCATTTGTTGAAGGAGAGCAACAACGACAAAGAAACAAAAGCATTTCAAGGCGGTGGCGGGTGGGGCTCGAAATCTCCAGAGAGAGGGAATAACGGCCCGGGCACCAAAACTATTTCCGGAGTAAAAGAAGTCGTTTCCAAACTAATTCCAGCCGGCGACACTTTCACGAGCTTTTCTTGAAATTAGAGCCTGATGGGCTCAAGCATTTCAACTGGATAATAGCGTTTTTTTTTTTTTTTTTAATACCTGCTGGTGATAATTTGTGGACATGGCGCATTGCTTCCCTTTCCTGACTGCGGCGGTAAACATCTCCATGGCAACAGAGCCGGACCAATCCGAGATGATGGACTACTTCATGAGAAAAGTGTGAAGCACACCGCAGAGACTCGTGCTCTGTAAGGCGGTACGAGGCACAAATGGAAAAAGCTGCTGCCCATGATTTGGATTGCCAAGACGCTGCGGCTGACAAACACTCGGCCGGTCACGCGCGCTTCCAAAAACACTTCCAAGAAGGTCAGACCGACAGTCATCACGGTGCCCGCGTTTGACTTTTTTGCCACCCGCTTGTATGGGAAATTTATATTTGATCAGGAACGGTAAAGACATGCCACAAAAGAAAGTTTTGTGAAGATTGTATTCCCGTTTTTGGATGTACAGGAATCCCTCGTTCATCTTTCGCGGCTTCGCGGTTTCACATATTTTTTATTGTATTTTTTTTAAACGTTGCATTGTGTTCTGCATCCTGATTGGCTAAGGCCCCGTCGACTCATGTCAACAGCCTCCGCGCGCCTTACTGCTGTGCATTTTGCCAATTTTTCTCCCTGACAAAAACCCACAATGTCAACGAAACCTTCCGTACAGTATTTCTAAAAGTTGTTTGTAAGAAAACGTGGAATGGCTCTTTTATGTGTATGTCTATGTGTATCTGCAGCGTTGGAAGACACCGAAAATGGAGCGACTCACGTGGTCGCTCCGAGTAGCGAATTTCAAATTTTTTTTTTTTTTTTTTTTTTTTTTGTCGTTCCTGTTATGAAATGAATGACATAAAAATGTTCCCTTTAAATCAAACCATCACTATTTGGTTGCTATTTGGCCGATGTCATCTTTGCGCGGGTTAGGTTGGGCTCTTTGGTTTGATCTGGAATGGAACCATCGTGCGAAATGAGGCAGGACTGCACATTTCACGTGAGACGTT